ATGATGACGTCATAATGTTTATCAATTGGCACCAATGACGTCATATTGCAAGGGGCATAAGCCATGGTGTTTTTGTTGTGGAAATAGAACACTTGGTAAATGTGAAAAATATAAATCGTTTTAATGCGAAAAATATGTTAATTAATTGTGATATTTTTATAATATTTTTGTCTATGACACTTCTATGTTAACACTTTTAATGTGGAAAAAGTACAAGAAAAATAGGTTCATTTCCGTGTGAACTTGCCCTTTAACTTTGCAATATGGCTATGCTACATGATCATCATACCAGAAATAAACAGTTCAGAAATACTGAAATAACATTAAACATAACTTAGGATACATTGCTATATTGTTATACAAAAACATACATGGAAAGTAGCTAGCAGTTTTATACTTTACTCACCTTAACAATTGTATTGTTTGTCCAAAGGTCTGTCACTTGTAAATTGTGTGTTGACTTCAAAGGTGGTGTTGTGTCCAGTGCAACATGGATTGGTGTGCACAGCTTGGAACAAGACAATGAAATCAAGGCTTGGGTTACAACAGTAGACCAAACAATGACATTAACATAGATTAACCCTCTGGATGTCGAGTTGTTTTTTCTGACGCACATTTTCCAAAGATCGGAAAAGTGAATGTTGTGCGCGAATTGCGCTCACGCAGCACTGGATCTACCTCTGGCTATAAAATTACGCAGAGGTGGAGAATATTAAATTTCCTATTTGATGGTGTAAATTCAACTGCAAATATTAAACAGGTTTTAAAGAAAGACACTTCTAAGTGTTGTCCGAGAATTTATTCTGCTTTGAAAAACAGTAAATTTCTCTGCTTTTTATCGTACACTGATAAAAGTACTGTGTGACGATTCTTTTTATTTAGAAGCTTTACGGAAACTGTGAGCAAACAAAATACTGCCTAATATCTGAACGACATAACTACATATCAAATGGAGTTATATGCGTATGTATAACAACATACATTCAATGCCAAAAATAGCATGACGTCAAAAGGCGACAGAGAGGTTACACACATACAAAGAAAAGGGAGCATAACTCTGCTATGCTTAGCACTAGTTTATTGTAACTCAGATCACTTGATGAGAATTAGTGTGGGTAAGGACAATATATTTTCGTGTGAACCAATTATTCCAACACAAATATCGATATATTGAAACTGTATACGTTTAGTTATAAAATAAGAAATGATGAAATCGTACTTCATAAAAAGGAGGTAATAGAGAAATGGATGGCCCCATCTAACCTATAACTTAGTTCTTAGTTTCCAACATTCTCCTGAATGTTTACCGTATTCGACGTAATAAGCGCCCACGGAGATATTTGCTAATATATTGGCTAGTGAACAATCCTAATTAGCACCCCTTCTGATTGATCAATGTACACAAGACTTATTTATTCGCGTATTATACGCACTCATGTGTTATATGCACCCTTAATTATGGGCAGTTAAATTCTGGAAAGATATATCTGTCGTATATAAACATTTCAGGCTGTCAGCATAAACCACAAAATTTATCTTTCAACTCTGTTTTTTCCACCAAAATAATATTCCAATAAGAGCCCCCTATTTCTAATTTTGAGAGCGCCCTGGGCGCTTATTACGTCGAATACGGTAAGTGTAATTTGACTATTGTTGCATCGTTATTAATGGAGCACTAGCCTTATCATCAAATAAAATGAAATACCAAAAAAATAACACCATTCCTTTTGACGTCATGGCTGGTTTTATGTCTTTGATAACGTCGGAGAAAGACGACACTGCTATTTTGATTAATATATATCTCCCCTAGTTTTAGTTAATGGTATGGAAGATCTCGATGTGTGAAACAGATTTGACGCTTTTTCGACACAGCATAAAATGACTGCTTTCACCAAGTAAATAATGTCTTGAATATGTAAACAATTAGATAGTTTATCGTGTATCTTAATTGGACAAGACACGCACCTGTTTGGCATCAATTTACGTAATGAAATACCCAAAAGAATATTTCAAAACAACCAAAATTATATTCAATAATCGACATATATTTGTTCATTATTATGTTATTATTTCTTACACAATAAAAGATACGAAGAAAGTTCTATTGGTATAGAATTATCAGGATCATCGTATACGTTTGAACCAACGGGGTGCCTGGCATGGGTTTTATTTTTATACAATTCCTGGAGAAATAAAGTAAACAGTTTACTATCCTGTGATCTCAATATTGAAAAAAGAATGAACCCATTGATTATATAATGCAAACCGAGAGGAATAATTCGTAAATTGTTCGTGACTAATGCGCACCTGGCGAATCGTTAGATATCACAGTTCTGTGTATCATACGACTTAAAAAACAATTCCAAGACCAAGACAATTCTTTCAGAAATGTGTGCATATATTTTAATGAAAAATATTATCCATTTTGTTAAAGTAATATATTCATTCTCAGTTGTAAAATAAAATGAAACGGCTATTCATGTACATTGGTTATATGAACTTATAATATTGACTATTACACATTCCAAGAAATATGTACATGCTGCAGTACACTATACAGTACACTGCAGTATCTTGTAACACTTGTAAGGAAAGAAATATTGTATTCGACACTATAAACCTATCAATTTTTATGTAAACATTGTTCAAACAAACAGGAGATTATCAAAGGTTTGTTCATACATGTTGTGGCCTATATTTACGTATGAGATATCATTTTGAACATTGACAAATGTCCAAAGTGAAATTAATTGTGTGAAAAAATGTATAAAAGATGTGAAAAATCTACATTATAACTGAAACTGTAAACAGCATGGTACAATGATCGTGTGCACTCTCATTCAAGGACCTTCACCTAAAGATTTTTTTACCAAATATGTACAACAATGTTGATATATGACATCACTACCGGTGACCGACTTTTACAAAATGGCGTGTTCACTGTCAACAGTACGCAGGATTTTACAAGGGGACTTTCGTTGATTCAGGGATCATATACATGTATACATAAATGTGAGATGTAAGTAATCAGAAACATTCTGACAATCTATGTACTGTTATTTGTTGTTATATTTTTCATTGAAACCAACGGAAATAGTCAGAAATTCTGATAAATACTGTTGTCGTTGTGCATGATTTTGCGTCAGTCATGGCGTCACACAGGACGGTAACTTTGACAATTTCTATTTTAAATATCAAATCATTGCAATGTATCTATTTTTAATTCCCTAATTCTTCCTACGATTCTCTTCCCATGCATATTCTGAAAATGTTGAGCCAATATCTTGAACGAATAGACGAATGGATACTTCAAAATAGGAGAAAATGCTTCACTGTGTAAAATCTGAATTTTGCTTTGTTTACTTTTCGAACAAGTGCAGTTTTTTGAGCACAGCATTCGTTTTCACGCCTAACTTATTTTGCTTGATTTCATCTAGCCACTTTGTATTGGTGACAAAGACCATTGGTCATTTGATTCTAAAATGTATGAGGAATTCAAAGATGTATGTATCGCAGCTAAGTTTGAAATATACGTGATGTTACATGTGTCTCATAACCGGTGTACCTGAAACGTGATTTTGTAAACACTATCCAATATGGCGGAAAGTTCAATTCGGCTTTCGTGTTTGCATATTTTCCAAAACGTTTTAAACGATTCTGGGGTTATCGGAGACGTTTTGGAATGATCATTGGTGATTTGATAAAAGTCAGATACCTGTGATCACTAATCTGCTATTTTTGACATTCATTTCTCCGAGTAAATATCCGAAATTTAGATTTTAAAACATGCTGTAAATAATGCCGTGAGTGGTGATTTAGTAATGTGTGGATGATATCACAGAACAGGGAATTTCCCACCTTATTCAAAACTGTGAAGTGTATCTGTGTGGTTGATGTAATTTGAATTTTATTTGACTTCAAAGTGAGGGTTGTAGAGGAGGGACATATATGTCCCTGTGGCATCCAGGGGGTTAACCCAACCACCCTTTACTTTAAAAGTGAACTATTCCATAACTCCCAATTCATACTTAGCCACTTGATATCATAGCTAGTAGATAGATAAAATATATTTACAAGTTTCTTGTCATATATATCTGAAATGTCAAAGGATAAAGTCACTACATAAAATTAATTGGCCCCCTGAAGAGCGTTTGCTCAAATTTGTGTTCTGTCAACACGTTTCTTCAACCACATGCATAGGACAGATTTGATACCTTATGTATGTCCTATAAACAACTGGGAATTTTTTTTTACATAGACGATACAATTCAAGGTCAAAGGTCACTTTGTGAATTAGACATTAAAAAGTTTAGGTACAACTTGAGTATTTACAGGAATTGGATCAAATTTCATCTCTAGAGTGGGGTTTCAATCACTGCTTTTGGTTGCAGCTAGGTCACTTCAGGTCACATCATGAAACATGTTTACACTTGAAAAACCTTTCAGATCTAACCTGATATTTAAGAAAATGCAGGTTTACCACACAGTCTGAGTTGTCACTTTCATTTTAATCATATCTTGAACAGGTTGAAGAATCTGGTTATTGTCAGTCCTGTATTTGCTCAAATTGTTTGGTATTTAAAATGTTCAAGAGAAAATGACTTTGGCTACAATGAGCACAAATAAAAAAAGATGTCCAGTTTTAATTCTTGTTTCGGGGGCACGGGGTGGCCCAGTCGTCTAAGGCGCCGCGATTCGCTGTGCAGAGTTGCGTCCCTAAGGCACGCCAGAAACCTATGATTGTGGGTTCGAATCCCGGTTCGCCCCGATTATGTTTCTAGGTTTGTCAGCACCATACCCATGCTCGTGGGTTTCACCAAAGCGGTAAACGTCTGAGACCTGCATCATTTCGGGCTTTCCTCCCACATTAAGCTGACACGCCGCGATATGACTGGAATACTGTTAAAAGCAGCGTTAAACCAGACTCACTAATTCTTGTTTCTCCTGAAATCTTACTTCATAATATAGCATTGCAGTAAATATTTTTATCCTCATTGCAGTATGGGTATGAAGGTTCCATGTATTGTGAAGGAGGCAAAAGAAGCACTGGAGTCTGGTTGCTGTGTGGTGATCGGTTTGCAGACCACAGGAGAGGTAAGAACAGTTGCATGGATGAATGTCCGTCCAACAAGTGGATGGTTTCCAAGGAAGCTACCAGCACTGTCATGTTTACTGTCATGGATGACTGTGGTGTTATGTACAGATATCTCATGAGAAGTTAAAGAAAACTTAACTCTGAAAATACTGAACTACTTAACCTTTAGCCTGCTGAATTCATTTGCATAAGGCGGTGTTAAGAGGGTGGACAATTTCTAACAGATGTTTTCAATCATACAAAGGTTAAGACCAAAGTGAACACAAAAATTGTAAATTTTCTTGAACTTTCATGGATTACATTGTTGGAGGTGCTTTGAATTTCGCGTTATGAACCTTTTTGAATTGTTAAATTTGTGCAAATTGATTTCAATAATCTTATCTCCGATATCCTAATTTTTTGACTGAGTATAATTTTGGGTTTTCTTAATCGGCAAGTAACAGCGTAATGGCAAATTATGAACCATTTCAGTAAATTTATTACCTTACAGTTAAACACAATTTTTTTTCATTTTCTAGGTCATCATGTCGGTTGCAGAAATACGAACATTCGGGTTAATCTAACGTGTCATGTTATAAAATTTGGATAAAGCAATTAATGACTTACAAATATTCACCAGTCCTAATTTCAAGTGTTTTGGTTGAATGCTTACAATATAAGTAAATACAAATCCCATTTCACGATGCTAGCAGACATACGAAAATCAAACATGGTGCAGTTTGCGTGACCTCAGCATAACTTATTGCTTTTTCAATATAAACAAAGTTTACATTGCCTTCATATATATGCCTTGGCAAAAGTTGCTGATCTTCTCAATTGAAGAATGTTCCATTTGTCATTTTCCATTTGATATGATGAGAGAAAAACAAAGATAAAGATCATGAAATCTGATGACAATATTTCAGAAAGTGCAAAGGTCACCGGGTGTGATGTCACAGACAGGGGTAGTCTGCTGATAATCTTTTGTTACAAAACAATTACAGTAAATTTTGAAATATTTCACCTATGACATACAGAATAAACACAAATCACTACATAGTATCAGTAAGTTTCTCGGTATCTATTATTTGAACTTTTGTTGATAAGGATCACTATATGATGTTTCGGTGAATATAATGGGATATGATTCATTTTCTGCGATGTACACGCTGATGATTTTGTTTTCACTATAATAATTGTGTCCCACGCAATACGTCTATAGATATCTTTCACCTGAACATCAGTTATGTGAATAAGTAACTATTTGTCATTATTTCATTTTAGTATTCCATGAACAGTGAATAAGTATATAAGATCCTTAACATACACATACAAAACTCATGAGGACATCAATCTTGTCACTTAAGTGGTTTGTATCCAATCAAAACAATTCTTAAATAAAATTGTAATATGAATATGATACATTAATGTCTTGTAACAGTACATGAGATTTTTGTTTGTTAATCACAAGAATCAGTGTGGCACTTAAGATGTTGAGTTAGTCATATAAGTATCAGAGAAAGTTAGTGTTTGAAATAGGAATAGAGCACTTACATGTACGTTGACAATTCTTGCAGTTCTGTTCTGTTGGAGAAAAGTACCAAAAAAATCTCAGCATTACCGGCACTCGAGGATTAGGACCTATGCTCCTGAGCAGCTACACACTGCAACCAGCGCTCTCAGCCTCCAGCATTCTATGTCCAACCCCATTCTGGAGCCACCCTTGGTGCCATCGACCCAGAAATCAGTTTTCCCGTTATCGTACCACCTGTCGCCAGCACTCCTGAGCAGCTACACGGCATTGACGGTGCCTCCAGGATTCGGACCTTTCACTCCTGAGCAGCTACATGACACCGCTGTCACTCTAAGCCACCAGGAGTTTATGACCACCCTTTTCGTCAACGTCCAGCAAGCGAACCACCTCGTGCCTAAACAACTCATCAAGGCAGATGATACAGTCCATGTTCCAGCAGACATCAGCCCAGGCGTGAATCAACGAAACACTATTGGTCCAAGTCTACTCCTATTCCACCAGACCTGATGGTGAAGAATCTGGTCAAAGCATCGGACGAAGAGTTTGCGATATTATTGCTTTTGCCGGTGTTCAAGGTTCCTTGGAAGGGGGATGTCCATGCTTTGGAGATGGCAGACATAGCATACACCCAGGATGACCTTGCATTTAGCCGTAACATGATTTTCTTTTGGTCATGTGCTCTCATTCTACGGGCTTATGAGACTGCCGGATTGCATCCCCAAGAGCCAGCAACCCTCTTTTCCTCAAGTCCTTAGCAGCGCCTGGTCTCATGGTGAGGGTTCTGTGAAAGTTCCCACTGATTCTCCCTGTCTATCAACGATAGTACCCTCGAAGAATTTCCTTCCTGTGGCTGCACCAAGGTTGAAGATCACAACTTCACGATGATTTGACCTTTGACAGAATCATCATATGCTTCTGGGTACCAACCTCGGGATCATCGTTCACAACACAGACCAGACATCACGCTTATCATGGTGATCAACTTGCCCCTACACCGGCAAAGTCTCACATTTTACACAGAACTTGGAAACACCACTTCTCTGTCAGCCATAAAGTTGACAGAGGATTGTCTGTGTGTGGAGCTTTGACTCTATGGGGGATTCCAGTTTACTGAGCAGGGTGATTTACATGTCACATGTCAAGAGCTCCCTGACTTATAACATCTTCGTCCGGAATTAGGTCAACTCACCTAATGAGAGCTGTGCAGTGTATTTGTACAGATTGGTTTGCATGCTTATGTACTCGCCTGTCGCTGTACATCAATGGGGCCAAGTAGACATCCTATGCCAACATGTGCAGTAACGAGACACCACGCCTCATCGTCCTTTGATATAAGAACGGGAGCGCTTGTATGATGCCTAGGGGATGGAACTGATCACCTTACTTCGTACAGTACGGCTTCAGACCAAGGAATTTCATACATTCAGCCTGATTTACAAGATATGTTGTTGAATTTATAATTCTTCCCACCGCTCTGTCGACCTCCGATGACTACATAGGGGATAGAAATGGTCACCTTACTTTGTACAGTGCGATCTTATCAGTGCCTTATCCACTGGATGCAGCACGTATCTTCATGGCACTGAACGAGCAGACACTCTCCTGAAGTGGGCAGGCTGAGGTTGACTACACTTGCATCCCATCCAACAGCTCCTGGGGCCGTACATGGCCTATCTGTTGCTGTACCCCCCACCTCAAGAGTCATTTCAGCTAGTGGATGATAGAGTCAAATGTCTTAGGAAGCGTCTCCTTAACAGAGTTATCCCCGACGTCCCACCTGTTCGTCGACGCCTCTACAGGTTGAGGTGCATATCTAGAGGACCAGTCGACATCAGGCCTGTGGTCCAGTACACAGCTCACTTGACACATCAACAACTTGAGCTGAAGGTGTTCAGGCAACATCTCACTGGCAGGACCCCCTCCAGTACACTCAACCTGCCATCTCCACGGACAACCTCACGGTGGTCTGGTGCCTCCACCATCAGGGGACCACTCACTCCTTCAACAAACATTCTGATTCTTACATCCGATTATTCAGCTGGGTCAACGTGTTCTGGTCCAATACTTTCACGGATATCGTAACATTCTGGCAAACGACGCAGACCAGACAAGGTAGCTCCCTCAGAGTCGAAACTCCATCCGGACGCCTTCGTTATAGTCTGTTGAAAAGGCTACCCCAACATTGACTTGTTTGCCACCAGCCAAACTGTTCAGGTGTCGTATCTCCGTTCTTCATATCTCGCCAGATCCACAAGCCTCGGCAGTGAATGCACAGTCTCCTGAGAAGGACTAAAAGCTTATGCTTTTCCACCTCCAGTACTCCTTCCCAGGGCCCTTCCTAAGATCACATCGACCCAGAGCCTCGCTCTGACTTTAAAAGCGCCTTGATGGCCTGCGAGGGGATCTCAAGGAGATGTCTACCATCGACCACCTTGAACTCCCAGATTTGCCCAACTTGTTGCCCCGCCCTCACAGCAAACGTCCCTACCCATCTTCATGCCTGGTCCATCTACAATGAGCCCTTAACACCATGGTCACTCAGCAAGGGCGGCGATGAATGCAATCCCCATGGCGCAGAGTCGTTCTGCCGGGGGCCTTTATGATGCTCCTTCAAGAATCTCTTCAAGGAGAAACACCAGGACCCCACCTCTGTGTCAACCCAATCCTTTGTTGAATTTCTACTGGTTTTGCACCACAAGCATTGCCTGATGGGCAACACTATCACAACCTACCTTGTGGCCGTCAGCTCTGTCTTGGCCATTCCAGAAGATTGAAAGATGACCAAGACTGCTAACTCCATTCGTCTAGTAGACCAGAAGGCAAAGTTCAGACATCCAGCATGGGATCTAAATGTGGTACATACCCTGCTGAGAGGCACACCCTTTAAACCAATCCACTCAGCATCTTACTGCAACCTCACCAAGATGACAGTCTTCCCCTTGGCTCTGGCAACAGCAGCACGTGCGATCGTACTACATCACCCATGTTAGATTTGAGCGCAGAGCGCATGGTGCCGTTCATTTGGGCTTAGCTTGGACTTTATAGTTAAGATTCAACTCCCAGGACAGCTGGATAGATCCTTCACCGTCCTGCTCCTATCTTTGATAGTTGGGGTTGAAGATGAACAGGAACTTCTACTCTGTCTGGGGTGGATGCTGCAATGCTTTATTCGATGCTCCAAGAATCATCGAGGACAAATTAACATTGCCACCTTTTCATTCTGGTATCTACGACATCACAGGTGGAAGTTGCCCGCAACACGATCGCCCTATGGCTTCGTGCCATCATTCTTCACAACTGCTCCACCCGCACCATTATGAAAGGCTTCTTTTGGTGCTCGGACAGAGTCTTCACCAAAATATTCCGAAAGCTGATAATTTTTAGAAATTAAGGAACTTAAGTGTTTTCTTTTCATCAGGAAACAAAATATTATGATAGAATGTGAAAAATGATAAAACAAATCAAGAAAATATCAGACTAGATGCCACTTAACGTGAGTGCCAAAAGTCCACAAAGTCTGTTTCTTGTAGTTGTCTGGTAGTTGAGAAATTTGGCCGATACTTTCTTAACTCGCAATGTTCTTTTTGAGGTAAATAAACAAATGTAAGTTGATATTTGGCAAGCTGAGCATTTATGCATATCACGCAAAACTTAAATGATATGCAAAGCCTACTCTGTAAACAGTTATTGTGAGTTTCATTTGGGGGTGTTCTCTAAACTATGCGCCTGTCGAATGGGTTCGCCTGCAGCAAAGACAGGTTAGTTGCAGAGGCAAATTAGTAGATTTATTGTAATATCTGACTAATCCAGATGTTCTTCATTCCGGATTTGACACACCATAATCTACATTAACTTCTGACACATCTCTCACACACGTCTGATGAGCTTCAATGTTGTGCTTGGAACCATTTCAATCTTCACCAGTTAACCCCTCAGTCGCAAGTGAGCTTATCATGGCTGGTTTGTCGTCTCCTGAGAAAGGTAGGGACCAATGAAGCTGAAACTGAATTCACATACTTGTTCCTACCAATGAGGTATGAATCTGCTTTTACATATGTAAAGGCCATTGAGAAAAAACTATTTATGGTTGTTACTCTGCCATTTTAGTTAAAATGTTATGAAATTTGGTGTATGTTCATTTAGTTGTGGAACTCAACACACATGTTCTGTTTCCTAATATCGACCTTACTTTGACATTTCCATGTTGATCATGCTCCTTTTGATCATCAAAATGCATTTTTGGCTCTGTAAAATCTGTAAGTTTTGTCTTTGCTTCAAATTTTGTTTAAATCATTTGAAGTTGAGCATAAGTTTTCAGTTCTTAGTATTTTTGTAGAAAATATTTAAATATCAATGATGACAGATAGTGGCTGTCTTTCGTGACATTTAAAATGTTGTCTACATATCCAGGTATATGGCAATAGTTTTTACACATATTTATGTTAATGATGTATTTAATATTCCAGAATTCAGGTGAGCTAAAAGACCTTTTGTATTTAGAAGAGGTTGTGAATGTGGACACATCTGTTTTTGTATATATAATGTCTTACCTATTGGTTGTGTTCATTTTGCAGGCATCACTAGACAGTGAACTTAACAAGAACAAAGGAAGATTAAAAGGGTTCATCTCTCTCTGTCGGGAAATTATTTCACGCTTCATTGAACAATACTTCCCAACCAAAATAGAAAATGCTGTAAGTTCAAAAGCTTCTTATGATTTATTTTTTCGTCGCTTTTTAGTGATGTAACTATGAATATCAACACTAATATCATATGCATGTACATATATGTGTACTTCTTGTGAGTTATCTACTTCTACTACATCAATGCCTAGTTCACATAAAAAAATCTTCAGACTTTCAACAGAAGTCCTCTCCACTGTCAGCTAGCTATTCTCAATTGGTTGTACAAGTATTAGTATCTTGCTTCTGTTGCCCTCTGTTGCCCTCTGTGCATGTGCAAGGCAGGAAAGCCTTTTTTTTTTCTGTGTGATATTAATAGTATCAAAAAGCTTTCTGAGTTCAATAGCACATTAGGTAGGTACATTGACTGTAGACACAGTTACATTTGACCATAGATGCAGTTGCATATCTTTCTTCAGACGTTCAGAACAATTTTTCCAATATGAAAGCAAATGACATATAAAGTTTACTAAGAAAACAACATGTGAAAATTTGGGGGTAAGACATTTAAGCATGTTGCTGATGGATTTCTTTACGCATTTGAATCAGATTTTCTGCTCAGATGTGCAAAGTCAAAACAAGGGAACCTGGCCAAGAAGTTTAACTTAAGCTTCAGGGCCGGTATTCATAAAAACTCTCAGAGTTTCTCTAAGAGTTACTCCTAACTCCAAGAGTTTCTCTAAAAGTTCTCCTAAGAGTCAACGAACTCTTAACGTATAGGAAAACTCTTAGAGCAACTCCTATCTCGTAACTAGGGAATTCCCAAGTTATTTTTAGTAACGGAAGTGTAATTTTTGTCTAAAATCCGGACGATCTGGGTAATTCCCGGTGACACTGAATTGTCAATAGTGCTTTTTGTCACAACAGTGATTTTTTCCAATGTTAAATAAATATATGTTTATTTTTATGATTCTATTTACTTGTTGTATCGGTATTTCATTAATTTTAATAAAATTTAATAAAATATTATTTGGCACTTTGCCAGAAGAAGCGTTCGTAAAATCTCACAGCAGACGAACAAAAGGGAAAATGGGCCGAAAACCGAATTGGTCAAAAGAAGAATGTCTTTTGCTAGTGCAACAAATAGAAGCCAACAAGGCTACAATTAAGGGGAAATTTGGGCCCAACCTTACTTCTGATCATAAGAAGAAATGTTGGGAGGATATAACCAACCAAATTAATAGTGCACATCCTAGCAGATCTTTGGAGAACCGAAGAACCACTGATGACATTATGAAGAAGTGGTGGCTTCTCCAGTCAAACAGTAGAGAGGAGATAGCCACCAAGAGAAAACAGCTCACTGGTACAGGTAAAAATAATTCATTTTTATAGTAAAAATGTAATTGCAATAATAAATTAATAATACAGTCAAGTCTCGTTTATCCGACTCTCGTTAATCCGACAATCGGCTTTATCCGACACAAATGATGGGAACCGATTAATCAGTGCTGTTTAGACCCGTTAATCCGACAGTTTCGCACTCCGGCTCCAAAACACACAAAATTTGCAACGATTTGCTGAAATCACTCATTAATCAGTCTCGTTAATCCGACACGGTGATCAGCGTACTCCATGGTCATCTGCCCGCGAGTACACAGCCCCGTGTTTTGATGTGAGACGAGTCGGCGAGTAGCTGCATATTTAAACGGTTGCAGAGATAAACTTTGTGTTTTGTGTTAATTTTTAGAGGTTGCATGATTAGAAAACATATTCCGCAAACAATGTAACACAACTGTTGTAGGGAATGAAATTTAAGGCAATATTTCTGTACGCAGTCATTTATTCAACAACCGCAGCTGTTAAACACATTTTTCAAACCATGTCACAATTCCGACTGACCGCAGACAGAAGGACAAATGTCACAATTTTCACATTCCTCCAAATCATCATTCAAACAGTTTGGTTGACCAATTCAACCTTGACAACATATTGTGGTTGACCGACTGTCTTGACTGTACAAACTTGACTGACAGACCGATTGTCATAATGTTCACTGGTTTACAAAGTTGACTTTGACTGAATGACTGAAACTGGTACATTGACTGGTACGTACAAGCTGTAATAAAATAAACAAAGCCTAATAAGTATAAAATTCAAACCAAATTAAATTAATCTACAAAAGAAATAATACATAAATGTGAAAATAGCATGAAAATACCATATTGTTACACCATAATACAGACAGCATTGTTTACATAGAATAGATATTATTGTGGGATTTTCCGGATTTTAAGCACTTACAACGATACAGATCTTCCGCCCATAAAATATACAAAATTTACCTTTTTACAACATGTAAACTGCAGAATAATATGTATTGGCTACAAACAAAGTATTCTCCTTTCATACTCACAACATTTTGGTGCCTCAAATCTCCACAAAAGTCAAAGTTTGTCGATAACCGCAGCTATCAACTTCCAAACAAAACGTGGTTTCCAAAATAGTGGCCAAAATCCTAAACAGCACAAACCAAAACCGAGAAATTGAAACTTGGTGAAAAGTCTGGCACAAACCCAAACCCGGTAAATTCAAACTTGGTAAAACAGTCTTGAAATACAAAAAACTGTTTCGATTCCCAACAACAACAATAGGAATATTTCCTTTTTTATTACAACATGTTTGAATCGTTATCTATCGTGTAGTTGTCCAATTTTCAATCATATGCCACCAACAATGTCGGATTAACTGGACTTGACTGTATAAGGCTACAGCAATTTAATTCCTTGGATTACAGAATCCCCTATCACTTTGGAAAAAATGTATGAATTGTTCACTAGAAGTTAAAATTTTGCTATGAATTTCTATTAAGTAAAAGATGTTGCCATAAAATGAAAAATGGATCTGAATCTATGTATTTATACTCTCCCATCAAAATCAAAATTGTTTTCTTTTTTTCTCTTACTGCTTTTAAGGTTTTGGATGAAAATAACCCATAATCCATGTACATAAATTGATGATGATGCCTAAGGAAAATTATTTACAATTTATTTTGTTATCAAAATTTCATTTATTTCATATACATAATGTGAAGAATGACATTCCTATTTGATTCCAGAATAATATAAACATGCTGCATAAATACTACATCCCAGTGGATGAAGAATAACTTTAGCATATATATCATGATATAAAATTTAAAACAGTATCAAATTTGAATAACTTGGGTATATTGATGACTATAACAACAGATATAGATTTACACACTGTACATATACAAAATCAATAGAGGAAATAGGATACAAAGTTCAATTGATGAGATATGAAAGAATGACAAAATTCATTTAATTATTTACAGGTGGTGGTCCAGCTGGACCTGAATTGTCGACAGTTGCCGAGGTTGTTCAAAACATCCTGGGACGTGATAACACTACCATAAGTGGATTGGATGGCTTTGATTCATTCCCTGAACATGCCAGTACAACAAGGTACCCTACATAAAAAACATGTACTATACTGCTATTCACAATTCACAATTAAAAATGTGTTCAATATATTTGGTCAATATAAGAACTGTCATTGAACTATCATTGTTATGACAAGCAATCTCAAATTAATGAACGTACTTAGTTAATATAAACAAAAAGTGTCAACAGTTTTACATACAAAATAATCTATTCACACAAAAGGATTCCCCACTTTAAATGATACATCAACACACACTATCATATTTGTTTCAGTGCTCCGGAGTCTGGGTCCTCATACCAGAACCCAATCAACATCACACTCTCGGCCATCACCAGTGCCAGCCACACCAGCAGCTGTGTGCTGGATGACTACATTCCTCTGGAATTTCACACACCTGTTCAGGTGCTCAGCCCTTTAGGAACTCTCTATAAGGGAAAAGAGAGAAAGATTAGAAATTGAAGTGCTTGAACTCCAGAAGGAGTATTACAGTCTCAAGATAAAGAAATTAAAAAGCAAATAACTGATATTGTATTTTACACAAGATTATAGGTCAAAGCATGGTTCTTTGATAATTGTTTATAGTTAATTTATTGATTTCTTAAGGTTGCAATATTGATATTTCATAACCCATTGAAATAAGTCACAGTTGGTACCGGATTAATATTAATGATCGATGTAACTACAATTTGGCTGAGATTGTTCTATATATCTACAAAAAGTGTATATAGTATATATATATGAATATTAGTAAAATCATGCTCCTTTTTCACTGCTTTTTGTTACTGAATTCAATTTTTTCAAAATTAATTAACTGAAATGTATTTTCTGACTGAATTATTTGTAAAAGGAACTAGAGAAAGACATTGTATATTCTATTTATTATAACCAAAAATATGTGTGATTGTAACTTAATTAAAATCTTTATCAACTTGCCTTTGTGTTGGTTCATCTTTTCCTCATCCCGTTAATGGTACAAGTAGCTCACCATATCAATGTTGTTTCCATCTGAAGTAAATCAAATGGTCTAAATATCTAAACAAGGTGTATTTACTTGAAAATAGTCTTGTCTCTGTTTTCAATAAAATTTGAAAATTTAATTTAAATCAGCAAATTTACATGTTTTCAACTTACATTTCTCTTTTCTAAATGTTGTCATGGATATTTGAAAATATTTTATTATTACATCCATAATCACATGTAATGAAAGGTTTTAATTTTTTAAAATAACTTACATTTCTGTCCCATAATCATTGTCACAATACACAAAGATAGTTATCAATGATCAGGCTTTCTGAAATTTGAAAGCAAATATAACATTATTTAAATTATCAATATTATTTGAAATGTTGATATGAATTAATTGTAAATTCATGTCTTTATATGAATATCAAGATAATATATTTTAAAACCTTCAAATCAAAATTTTATTATGATCATGGATACTTTACACTAACCTAAAAGTACTGTTGGGTGATTTGTTGGCGGTATCTAATTCCATCAGCTGCAACTGGACCTTGGTGAATATTGCCACCATTGCCACCATTGTTATTAGCTCCTCCATCACCAGCATTCATTGGGACATTCAAATTCTTGCAAATATTGTGCAAGATAGCACAAGCCTGTATAAAAAAGACACGTAAGAAAATGTTACATTGAATAACATTTCATATACCAATGTCAAAATCATGAACAAACAATGAATGACCTTAAAGTTTTATCTATCAGAACAAGTACATGACTACTTAAATAATTAAAAGAACAGAAAATGAAAAATGATATTGAAATGGGGAAATAATAATTTCTCACCACAATAACTTTGCAGACTTTTATCGGTTCCAAGCGGACCTCACTGTGCAGTACATGAAACCGTCTCTTCATTTGTCCTATTCCACGCTCCACTAAACTTCTTGTGATCTTGTGTGATCTTGAACATGATGTAAATGGTAGGAATTCTTATGAAGTAACTGCTTTAAAACAATTAATTAATTCATAGGCATAATAGCATATTTAGAAAATAATTGGATGTAAAGAAACCCTCAATATGCCTATTAATTACTGAATATGTTCTGTGTATTAGTAACCTAGTGATAAACAGCACAAGTTGTTGCTGTTCACTTCTTCATGCTCAAATTAATGACAGGTGCATTAACTCCCTTGGTTAAATACATATTTATATATAAATTAGATGTTGCAATTAGAAAAGATGGAATATTGATAATGACTCCAATCTCCTTATGTAATATTTAAATGTTAAGCACATACTTTCCGTATCATTAGTCAGCTTAATTAATTCCAAAATAATTTGAAAACTAGGGCCTAGATACTTTATTACATTACTATCAAGTCCACCAAAGATGTGAAGCTTCTGTAAAATATTTAAAGTGATAAGGGGACACTACTCTCATTTGTGTTCCCGGCATTCCTTCGGTGACCATATCCTTTTGTTTTGATTTTTTTTACCTGTTGTAATTTGTTTGTTGTCCGGGTTGAGGCCGCAGGTAGGGCGTTAATAGATGTGGCCGGCAGGGATAACCGCTGTCCCCGAGCAGGTGACAACCGTGCGGAAACTGATTATTCAGAAAAGCATGTCTCAAATTGGAATTATTCCAAATCCTGGAATCATGTACTGACCCGGGCCACCTTGCCACGATGTTTAGTATTTTGTAATTCGCGTCCATTACGACTTGAACGTTAATGCTATGAAATCCCTTGCGACAAACAAATTCTGGCTCATTTACATGTGGAGCTATAATCCTAACGTGTGTCCCATCAATTACTCCGATCACACCCGGAAATCCACCAATTGCTTGAAATTGCACCTGTGTTCGATTGAGGTCGGCCGCATTGGAGGGCATAGAAATGAAGCGATGTAAGATGGCCGGAATCATGAGTGCATTTAAGGTCTGATTTATGACACGACTGACAGTTGGTTGACTTATCCCCAGATCGTCGCCATTGCAAAGCTGCATCTTACCTGTCGCCAAGTATCGCAAAGTAATGATTACTTCCAGTTCAGCGTCTAGCGACATATTTCGTTTCGTAGGGCTTTGCAACTGATTCCTTACAAGATTTGTCACAAAATGTATGCCGGCACGATTGAGTCTGTATCTTTCAATAAGTTCATAATCAGTAAGGTCATTTAACACATCTTTTCGAGCTCGAAATATAAGGTTTCTACGATGTCGCAGCTGCACGGCGGTGGCCATATTGGAACTCTAAGAGTTTACCTGAGTAGATAAGAGTGCCAATGACCACTCCTAAAGATAGGAGTAACTTTTAGGAGTTAGGAGTAACTTTTAGGAGTTAGGAGTGAACTCTTAGGAGTTTTGGCAGTTAGGAGTAAATTTCCAACTCTAAGAGTTTTTATAAATACGGGCCCAGGTATATATCGATGATCAGGTATCGTTCATTAACCATCAGGGGACAGTCCAGTCGTCTAAGGCGCTGTGATTAACCGCCGCAGATTTGCATCCCTTGGGCACGCCAGAAACCTGGTTGTGAGTTCGAATCCCGGTTCGCCATGATTATGTTTCTAGGTTTGTCAGCACCATACCAGCTCGTGGGTTTCACTGAAGTTGTAAACGTCTGAGACCTGCATCACTTGGGCTTTCCTGAATACTGTTAAAAACGGCGTTAAACCAAACTCACTCACTCACTCACTCACTCACTCACTCACTCACTCAAATAGTCAACTCCCTTCCACTGATTTACCAACCTGATCTAGAATTAAATGAAAACAGTGAGACCGCCTTGCTTGTGTAGCCGGGTGGTAGTGCTAACTCTGAATGTGTTAGCCACATAAGTACCACCCTCTCTTAAACCATCATCCATTATCACCCTCACTTCATTCTGTGTTCATTATATGTTGTCCTTGTCTGCAGTTGAATGTCAGCCAACTAACATCAACCTTGATACCCTTTTGCAGCCTCTGTGATTTCTCCAGTTTCACCTGGATTTCCACCTATGTATTTTTAGATATGTCCACCACTTCATGTGACTGTGAAGCATCTTGACTTCCTTTAATACCTGTCAGATGCTACCTTTCTTCTGATTGGCCCTTTGGTCCACTTCTTTAAACTTCCTTTCTCACCTGCCATCCTCATGCACTCTGCATGAACTCTTTATGGAGGGAGGACTCTTCTTAACAGGTGAGAAACATTTCAATATTCTTATCTCTTTCCATCCTGCTTTGGAAACAAATATATTCATAGAAAGGGTATCACAGCTTTTCATTAAAGTAAAATATATTTAATTGCCTTATTATTTAATTTGTTATATATGTCAAATTTATTATTTTAGTTTGTGCACAAACAACTAGTACCTTAGCCACAGCTTCCTGCGCTTTATGTATCCTACAACGTCGTATATTTTATTATGAACTGTCATCACTTGTACATCGTACTCCATTTTTCTGCTATGGATCAGGTTACACTTTACCTATCCCACAATTCAATTCTTTGTCGGCAACGCATGCGCAAACCCATGCTTCTGACGTCACTCACCAAAGTCTATTTAACCCTTCACCTACCATCCGCTCATTCTCGTTTCTATCAAAGCCATCTCGTTTATGCTTCTCGTCATCGGCCTTAATCTCGCTGTCATTTTGACATCCATTACCGTATCGTGTTGCCTATTGTCCTACTCTGGGCCAACATGTCTGCAAGGAGAGGGAAACAACCCCTTTCGTCTAGACAACCTCGTAAAGGCAAAAGTGTCAGCGGCTCAACTTTGACCCCAGATCACAACAAACAAGATGGCGACCTCACACCTCGCTCCAGTCGACCTAGCCGGGCAACCCCCTGTATTTGACTGCGGCCGACCTGAGAAACCGACTATCACAGCTGGGAATGAAAGTGCCTACCTCGTGGACTCGAAAATTCCTCCTCCAGCTTTACAACGAGAACGTGTCAAGTGGCAGATTAGTCGAAGTGATCAGCGACACCCATGATACGACACACGAGGCTCAACACGACAACCTTCATCACCAGCCATCAACAAGTGCTGCTAGCAGCTTACAACCTTCTGTCAACGAATTAGCCCAAGCAGCTAGAACACACATTCCGGTCGACACGGGTTCAATCTACGACAGTAACGACATCTCCCCCATGCTTTCCGACATGCCTGCCAGATGCCCGGATGTAAACAACATGGCGAATGACAAGTCTCTCCGCAATGAAGTGTGTGAACTGAAAGCACTTATCTACTCGTTAAAAGGGGATTCTACAACAACACATCAGCCAACAACCCTCCAGATGCCACAGGCCGTCCCTTCTGACTCCCTGCCACCGATCAACACCATTCCAGCCCACCTCAAGACAAAAATCAAACAAGGTAAATACGTCAACTTGGCATTATTACTACAGCAAGATCTCGACATCAGCGAACGTGAAACAGAGAGACGTGAAGATACCAAGTCAGGAAGGTCTCTGTCACTACCTGACTTCATCATCGCATTCACTGCTTACAAGAACGTGTACTGTGAAAACAACAACGAACTACGTGCACAGTTGGACGACCACGAACAGACCGTAGTAGGACTGGCTAAACTCTTTCCCGGCAAGACAAATCATTATGACTACCATAAACTGTTCGCCGCACGTGTAGCAGCCTATGCAGAAAAAGGTACGCCTATTAGGTGGGACATGGTGGACAAACGAATATATACTATGTGTTCCACAGGACAGAGGGCCAGGTCCTGTCAATCATGCCAGAGCATAACCCACACTTCGGAGGGATGCCCCAATCTCATGGACCCAAGGATCAGAC